ATGCAACATGCAACATCAGCCTGATTCTCGTAAGCAGTGCATATGATCATACTGCTTACATACAAACATACATACATAAGTATGCACGCAAAGTCATTTTCGTTTTCGGTATTATTGGCATTTTTTTGCTTGATTAAATTTATCTACCTGCTGGTCGATTTGCCATAAATGTCAAATTTTCGAGAACAAGTTTTTATGGTTTTGCGCTTCTTTATGTATTTGAACATTCGAACCGCATATATGGAAGGACAACAAAATTACATGAATGTATGTATGTATGTATATACAGCCATGTAAATATGTACATCATGTAAACATCGAATCGACAATCCATCGGTATACAATTGCATGCAATCAGATCTCATGTTTAACACGAAAATATCCGGTCATAAAGTTTAACAATTTTAAAAACTTCAAGCACCGGAAAGGTGGACGCAACTTGTTTTTGTTACATATAGCGAAGTGTATATTTTTGACCATTTTTCTTTTGGTTGTTTAATGTTTATTAATTTTTTATAAAGGGATCATAACTCATTATCTGATAAAAAGCAAATTTAGACTTTCAAAACAAAAAAAAAAAAAAAATGTAGTAGTGAACTTTTGATGTAGTTTACTTCTACTTCACATGCAGATCATGGATCCATAGTCTTGCCGCTAATTTTCATATGGGAACATTCCGCCATCTTGGATTTTAAGTTTTTAAATTAAAAATTAAATTTTCACATATCGACTGCTGAGTGGAAGATCGACCTATCTCGGCAGCCAGTTCGAAAACGCCCTATCTCAAAAAACTTTTCAAGAACGCCCTATTTCAGAATTTTATTGAAAAACTCCCTATCTCAAAATTCGGTTCAAAAACGCCCTATCTCACTTCAAAATGTATTGAAAATATGCTGATATAGGGCGTTTTTGAATCGGCAGCTGAGATAGGGCGTTTTTGAAACGAATTCTGAAATAGGGCGTTCTTGAAAAGTTTTTTGAGATAGAATGTTTTCGAACTGGCTGCCGAGATAGGTCGATCTTCCACTCAGCCATCGATATAATATATATGATAAAAACCCCTTTTTTTGTAAATAATTTGCAAAAAGTGCAAAAAATTGGCACATTGTCATGGTTTTCGCCATTTTTCAACAATTACGAATCCCAAATCAATTTTAAAAAATTCAAATGGCGAATCCATATTGGATCTACCATTTATCATGCAAAAAGTTTAAAGCATATGAGTGGCATGTTAAGCAAGAATTTGATCTCTTAGTTCGTTTCTGTAACAATTCTCTACTGAGGCGAATTCATACATAAATTCGCCGCCTTGTTCTCTACTGCTAATGAGTAGTACAGAATGACGTATATTCTTTACCAGTAGAGAAATAATCGGTAGAGAAGACTTCCAGAAACGAGCTACTGATTTAGATTCTTAATCAAAGACCTTACTATGAAAAAACACTACAAATTTTCACCCAAATTCCAAACTTTAGAACTTTAGAATTTTTTGTCGCATTTGCGACGAATAAACACAATTTAGGTTTGTATGGAAGAAACCCGCAACACCTTCGGCGAAAAAAATTCTAAAAAATCAACAGTAGTTTTTAGCCTCTTGAAACTTGCACATTAAAATTGAATGGGCTATAAAACTGTGTACTCGAAAAAATTCTAACACCTCTGAGGAAAAAGTTTGAAATTTGGGTGAAAATTTGTTGCGTTTTTCTGTAGTATTTGAAAAACTTTTAAACTTGGGTTTATATGAGTTTTGATAGAGAATGCACTGTGTTTTAATTGAAGAATCCTAAAAATAAATTAATAAATACGAGTGGCAAACAATATTACTTTGAATGGCTTCTGTGAGTCCTTTGATGCCAAACTAGATTTCAACAACGCAAGTCTTGAAATTGATGCCAGAAAAGATGGGCCAAGCAGTAGGTATAAGTCATTATGCCCAGCTAATTTGAAGGTAGAGATACGTTAACTTTGGCGGCTACCGATGAGGCGGTCAGCTCATTGGTTGAGAGAAAGATTTTTTTCATAAGATTTATGGGTCTCTGCTTGTTGGCGTTGGTCGATATCGTAGGCGATAAAATGATGAGCTGTGTGAACTTTCGGGCTGAGCGTATGATTTATGGGCCTTTTCACTATGGCGACAGTAAATATTACAGGAGTGAAAGATTCAGATTCAAACGAAAATATAGCGACGAATGAATGTAAAAATTCTGGCAAAAAAAGTTTCGATTTGGTGCTCGCTGTTTGTGGTAGAGGAATTAGTCGGTCTCTTCTACGCGGGAAAGACTAAGTGAAGGAAAACTCAATTGCTAGGCTTGTCGACAGAAAATACTGACCCGATTTTTGGGCTTAAATTTAGGGTTTTAAATAAAAAGTAGGTATACACATTCATAGGACATGGTGTCGTTATTAATTTCACGTATCTATATTTTGTAACATCTGTGTACGTATTCTTCAAAATGTGTTCGGCGAAGTGTGAGCTTGCGGAGAAAATTTTGTGCAAAAATCAAGAAAAAGTATTTGTGGACGAGGAAACATACGTCGAAGCAGTGTTTAAGCAGATTCGTTGCGTTGAGTTTTATAATCCAACGAAGACAAATGGAGTCAAATATGCCTTCAAGCTAAAAATATTGGACAAGTTTCTTGTTTTTACGAGCTTTATTGTTATTTTTTTGGCCTAATAAATACTTGGTGTAGCTAGACATCTGCCAGTGCGGCACGAAGAGCAAAAAAGTTCATTACCGCGGGCTCCATAAATCAAGAAATTTATATGAAGGAGTGTTTCCTATAACGTTTGCTGTCGTTCATAAAGCAACATAAAGTTTTGTTCTCACCCGATTTAGCATTGTGCCATTACAGCCCCCTTGCCATGAACTAGTATGCCAGTCACGGGTTAAATATTTTTCAAAAGGACCACAACCCACCAAACTGTTCAGAATTGCGACTCGTTGAAAATTATTGAAAGAAAATAGCTAAAAACGAATGAAGATATCCACAATTAGCAGCATTTCAAAATCAATTGGCAGAGAGCAGCAGATACCGTCACAAAAATGGATGTCCATAGCCCAATGCGAGGGCTCAAAGACAATTGAAATACGTATTTTTTTGTTTAATATAGTAAGCGTTATAAAGAAGATGATAAAACAGAAACCTTTTCCTTAGCTTATGTAATATGTTGTTATAAGGATTTTCGGCTGACCAAAATATTTCGAGTGCATTTTTTATTTCAACACAAATGATTTTGAACATTTAAGAAGAAGGTCATTTCTATCATTTAAATTTAAAGTTAAGTGAATTGCTTAGAATATTGCCTTCTTTAAGATAATTTAAACTCGGTCCATTTTGATATGTTTTTTAACAATTTATTAAATATTGGTATACTAAGTTTAATGATGAATGGTATTTAACATACACAATTTATTAAAATAGATTAGATAAAAGACAGTTAACCTCGTTTAAGGAAAAAAAATTGCTCATAAAATATTTCTGGGAAAAAGTCTTCTTTTTGTGGTGTATGTGGAAATGTACTATTATGTACAATAATTATGAGCTGAAGATTTAAATACGATAGTTTTAAAAATATCTCCTTGTTACTTCACCTGGTAGAATTCCACATACGATTGGAAATGTGAAGAGTAAATACTGAAACAAAATTATACGTATGCAATTTTACTAACAGAAAGTCTTAAAAACATTCAAAATATGAAACATTTTCTAGTACCTATAGTAGATACGCAAACTAGAATAATTTTTCTATTTGACATTTGATGCGAAATCTGGCGTTTAAATTTTCTGGAATATTTCAGTTTTTTCCAAGAATTTTTTTAATCAACTCCTTGTACCCTTTTCTTTTTCTTCTTTGTTTATTTTCTTCAATAACAGAGCTTTAGTATTTTCCGCTAGTATTTCCAGTTACTCAGTCAGCGTTGAAACGTCTGTGCTGAAAATTCATCGAGTTCACTCTTCCCCCGGAACAGTGAAGCAATTGAAGCGTGTATTGATTGCACTATAGCCAGATTTAATGAGTTGCATACCCTTTAATTTTAAAATCCTCGGGAGATACTTTGATGGACTATCAAACTGGATATTCTCTCAAATCGGCTTCGGCGTGAACGTTCGCGTCCTTAGAACAATTTACCGTATTATATTTTTTAAAATTGTTTTCAAGTTATTTGTTTAGTTGAGATTGAAAAGTATCAAAACCTTAGGAACGAAAAATGCATATCCGAACTCGTCGACTTAAATACTTATGTTCTAGAAAAACAAATGCCTCTCTTGCCTTTTGTCTAAAAAGTTTTTTTGTGGACTTATAGTACCTGCATTTTTATCCTACAAATCTCTAATTATGATTAAGCTTCATGTTTTATTTTATTAGCTTTTCCCCAGCGTTCGCTGACTGAAAATATTTGTCCAGACGTCCCTGCTCGATAATGTTATTTCCAGATTACTCTTTCTTAAGTATATTGTATTGTATGAATTAAAAAATTCCATTTCTACCGGAATTTACATTTGTAGTTCGATTTATTTATTTGTTTTTATTTGACTTATTGACAAGTAAATTGCATCTCAATTAGTGTGTGAAAATATTTTCACGCGCATTTGAATCTCCAACAGAGTGGAACAGATGTTATTACTATTGATTGAATTGACGCGATCAAACGGCGCGGAAGTCATATGTTGTAAACAGAAATGAGGTGAATTCCAAATCTGCATCATCTCACTTTTAAGTTCGTATGCCAATATTTAAATTATTGTCAATATAGTTATTTGTAATGTTTGAATCGCAATTATGTAGCGAATATTTTTGTGCACTGATTTCAGTCAATATGGAAAATGACAGACACAGTTTGCAGTTGCGCAATTCACTAACGGTGCTTTAATTTGTCAGAACAAAACAAAAAATAAATCTTGCAATGATCACGGATCGTAAACAAAGTTGAATAAACAAGACGTTGTGACATGCGAAGGTATCATTAAATTTCAAAAAGAGCCATCAACAAACAAACCGTTTACCATCGCTGTGTTCGTAAGCGCGGATTATATTGCTGCAGTGCATTGTTGTTGTTGGCGGAAGATCACTTGTAAGTACATATTTGTTGCTTCGCTATTATAATTTCATAGAACACAGTAAGATATTTAGCGAAGCATTACGCCTTTTACGGTTACGTTTTTGTTGCTTCATTCCCTTCTAACTGAGATCCACCGGAGATGTCGACGATTACGAGAGTAAAAAAAAAGATCATCGCAAATCAAAAACCGTATACTATGTATTCATTTATGTACAAAGTTATATGCGCGCGCGTATAGAGTGTTGTCAGCAGCACTTCATAGTCGCACAACGATAAGATTGTCACTGACAGCTGGCAACATTTAGTTGGTGCGTTTAAGCCGTACGTACTAAACACTTGCAACACAATGAAAATGAACAGCCAGCCATCGACGCAAGATCAACAGCTACCGCAAGCTGAAACATACTTATATATATGTGTGTAAATATGTATGTATATACTAGGGTGGTCCAAAAATGCATTCGTGGTCGAAACCCTCCAAACAAAGGCTCCCGAAATCTTGACGAAATCTTTAGGGGTATCTTATTTCTGTAAAGATTTTTTTACGAATCTTCAAAAAAAATATATATATATATGGAGTGCTTGACACGAGCTCGTAAAGAAATTTCTGTACGAAAAATAAAGAAAATTCTGAAAAAAATCTGCAAGAAATTCTTCACATTGCAGCATTATTTTCATTGCTTTAGCGATTTTCGATTTTTTTCCGAAATTTCATAAAATAATCGGAGTGTGCACAGTTTTTTTTTTTATTTTAGAAAATTCGGCAAAAAATCGGATGAGATCTTTTCGAATTCTTTAAAATTTGTCTACAATTCAGAATACTTTGAAAAAATGGTTTGCATTGAACTTTAGTGGTCCCACCCCCTAGGACTGTTCTATGGCGAAAAAATTATACCCCTGTTTTATTTTTTTGTTTTGACGTCAAAAAATATTTAGAGGTCGATCAAAGCGTTCAAAGTTTTCCATGTAGTACATTATATGGAGAAACAATAATTTTTCATAGAAATGGTATAGAATTCTTGAAAATCAATATTTTTCTTCTCAAATCGTTAATTTTAAAATTTTGTAATATTAGCGGTTTTGTATCGGTCCCACAGTTGCAATTTTTGGGTTTTTAGAGACCCTTTAAAAAATAGTTAGTATTAAAAAATGGTTAAAAAACGTTGGGTATTATTACTGGAAGTCTCCTGAAGAGAAACAGAGTGTTTTTGTTAGGTGATTTTGATTTTTGTTTGGCGGAACCATAGTTTATTGACCACGAGTGCTCCGTTCTTGTACTTAGCTACCAGATCTCAGTTCCTACCAGTAAATTAAATTTCGTCAAAAATTATTATGCTTTGCTAAGGAAATATTTTGGTTTGAAGGAAATTCCATTTTTTTTTTTGCCGAACGTCGTCTTTTTACATTTCGTCATATCTTCGGCATTTACAGACCGATCTTTAAGTGTGATATATCGATATTTTTGTCTCTCCTGAGAACTTTTTTGTTCCAAAGTACGTAGGTCTTGATTACCTAACACATCTCAGTTCTTATCACCCTAAAGTACCACACTAATGTCATGTTTAATAAAACTCACAAAAAATTATAAACTTCAGACTTTTGATAAGCAAATATTTTAATTATTCTAGTAGAACTATTTTAAACATTTTATTTTCATATATTTTTTTTAATTAGTGCTGTTGATGTTGTGATTATCTGGTCGGTAAGTACTCTAACGGGATATTTGATGTTGATGAACTTTGGAACAAAAAAAAAAATGCCTACTCGAGACAAAAACATCGATATATCAAACGTTGAGATCGGACTGTAAATCCCGAAGACACGACGAAAAATTTAAAAAGGCGACCCCTATCTTCGACAAAGAAATTAATGAATCAAAATAGCCTTCGATTCGATTAATTCCTTAGCAAAAGTTTAAGAATTTTTGACGAGCATTAATTTACTGACATTAGGGGAGTAGGAATTGAGATCTGGTGGTTAAGTACTATAACGGGGTACTTGGGGTCAAAGAACTCTCGAATAGAAAAAAATCCACTCCTCGAGGCATGAACATCGATATATCATGCTTTGACCCTTTCATGACCGATGTTTCCCATTGACAACACACAAAAATTTATAAGCAACATCTCATAACACTGTTCGGCAGTCGGATATAAATGAAATCTAGGATTTCTCAAACTCAGGATTGAGTGCACTTTGGTGCAAATGAAGAAATATTGCTTGCACTTTTCCTTCATGTTAATTCTATGTTTTTTTGCATTCAAAGGCAGTCAAGCGGCCATTTTGTTTTCTAAAAAAAACATGGCAAATTCAGATTATTCGGACACCAAGATCCCCAGAAAGGTGAATGTATAAATATTTGCATTTAAGGATTCATACTCTTCGTGAATATAAAAAAATTTTACTTCAACTTGTTACTGCATTTTAAACTAGTTGTTTGGGAGCTACATATATAGACAGAGGAATCATACAACAAAAACTCGTATCTGAACAATCAGTGGTATGGAAGATATACTACTTTATAAAGCGCGAATATAAATGATTTTCACAGTAGGCTTTATCTTATCGATAAGTTAACACGGCACACAATTTCATGTTCTTAGTTGCCTACTTAAAGGAGCTATATCGCAAGAACTTTTTTTCTGAACAATCAGTGGTATAGGAGATATTTGTATGTAGCTTAAAGAGCACCAATCTTGACGATTTTCTCAGTAGACTACGAATTAGTACTTAGAAAATAACTGTCGAAATCGCTCGGTTATAGCTATCCAAGTGAAGGAGTTTAAAATAAGAACCCATATCTGAAAAATTAGGTTATGGAGGCTATAGGTTAAAGTGAACCGATATTTAATTTTCGCCGTCAGCTTTCTGTTGATAATGAGTGAAGGTAGTGCAAAATTTCATGTTTCTAGCTGCATAAATTGGGGAGTTATAACAAAAAATCTCATAATTGAACAATCAGTTGTATGGGAGCTGTATGTTGTAGTAGTCCGATTTTTCCGGTTCCCACAGATTACTAATACATTATGAAAATACACCCGATTACCAAATTTCAGTCGGATACCTCGAAAACTGAGGCACTAGATTGCAGTTCGACGCCCTGATCATTTTGGTATACTTTTTCATGGGTTTATCTTTTCTTCTTCTTTTGGTACGCACAAACATCGGACCAATCCTTCAATACCATTTCATGGTCATGAAGCGTATACAAATTTTAAGAAGGGGCCCCAGGTTAGGAAAAAAATTAAAAAAAAAAATTTAAATCGCCTTGCAAAATTATTTTAAACTCAGCGGTGTACGGCGGTCTGTTTTTTCTTGAAAGGTGACTCGGTCTAATGTACATACATATGCATACATACATATGTGTGAATATACAAGAAAATAACAGCATGGAATGTTTATAAACATTTTCGACGCACTTAGCATGCTACTATGTAGAACTACAAGTGTTACTGGTGGCGGCTTTTAGCGTTGCTGGATTGCATGTCGTGTTGCCACAACATTGCAAAGGAGTGCGAACGCTCAATTTCTCACTATAATTTGCAATAATTAAATTTAAACACTACATATCGAGGCTGATCCCCATTCGGAGTTTTTTGTACTTCTTTTGTACTTGCATACATACATACATACTACATGTACATACATATAAAGATGCCACAGCGTATACTTGCTTGCCGCTGCTGCTTGTTTGGAACATCTTTGTGGCCATTTAAATTTAATCGCCTAACTTCTGGTGTTGTATTTTGCTTTCGTACATGATTTACTTGGTGCTGAGATATTTATGTTTATATACATACAAGTTTATATACATGTATATGTAATTGTGTTATTATAAAGATCTGCAATAGCTTCTCCTTCTCTACAGCTACATACTTCTCGCCCTCGTCCACAGCGTTGATATTTGAGCTTCTTCTAAAGAAGATATATATGTAGTTACATACATACATGAATATCCACACTTGAATTTAAATATCTAGATATTTATGTATGTATGTATGTATGTATATGTATGTATATGCAATTAATTTTTGCACTATTAAGAAATTTTTAAACTCACTACATAGTAAATATGTATGTACATACTATGTTTACTGCTTGGGGCTCATCCTCTTCTCGCTAAGTTTTATCTGTTTTTTTTTCAGTATTATTTTTTGTTCTTTGTTGCGGCGTAATTGGACCACTTTCTGACGTACGTCAGACTGAAATAAGCAGTGGGTCAGCAAAAGCTTCTTTTTCATGCATGTACAACTATGTAGTACGTATTAAATATACATATACTCTAAAAAAAATTTTGTAAATTTCCTAGCTAAAAGGTAGGTTACTGATAACCTACCTTATTATTCGCAAAATTACATGCTCGATTATTCAACGAATAGTTTATTTAAATTTCGGACTTTTTGGAGTGTAATATAGTGGCTGTGGTGTGCGTAAATTTACTACGAAAGTGTGTACAAGCTACAAAATACACATCTGCTGTTTGATTTCAACCGTAGAATTGTGTAAAGCCACTAACAAAAAGGATTTTTACGCTCGAAAACGTGTAAACGAGAAAAATACAAATTCAGCGGGTAAATTTAGCAAAAAAATTTTTAAAAATAAACACAAGTATACTCGATTTATAGTCGCATTTTTAAAAAAATTTTTTAGAGTGTATCTGAATACGAATGTATTAAGGTAGGCCATATTTAAAAAAAAGGTTCTTTGCTGTACAACCCGGACCGGATCCGGTAATTAGAGAGTAAGCGAAAAACTTGCTCTCAAAATGGAACAATGCCCACAAGTACGGGATCGCAAAAAAAAACACGTTTCGTGCCAAGTGGTTCTTGTTATCGACAATTAAATGCAAATACTTGGAAATAGAATTTTAGTTTTACAGATTTCATTGTATTAAAAAAAAGTATATAAACACTCAAAATACATTTAAACACAGAAGAGCTGATATGCACGTTGACACTTTATCCTTTTTTACCCGGAGAAAAAATCCTGGCTATTTCGGGCAGGAAGAAGAAGACACTTACCATCCAATATATTCCCATATATATTATCCATGTTTTGGGCACCCGCGGGATCCAGCGTTGCGTGCAGGAAAGAACCTAATGATTCGGCTCACAAAAAACAACTATGCACATAAGTACGCCTAAATTGTTAATAGCCGTTGGCGACGGCCTGGCGGAGAGCATGTATTAGCTATTAAGCGCATTTTTGTCCAACGAATACAAAGCAAAATTGAAATCTCAGTCAATGCACGGACTTTACCACTTTAGTGGTAGAGCTACCAACTTTTTAGCTTTATT